GCTGCCTGAGACCTAGCCCATTCCAATTAAGTCAGAAACTCTCAGAGTAGGGATCTGGCATAGGTATTTAAAATCTCCCCAAGTGATCTAAATGTACAGTGAGGACTGAGAACCAGTAGAAGGATGCATTATTAGACATTTCACAGATAGATCAAAGTCCCTTTGTACTTGATCCCAGCCAGGTGGCACTTGGAGTAGCATGATCAGTTCTGGGCAGCACATTTTTAAAGAAATAAAGAAAAATACGTGTGTTTCAAAAAGAAGGCCAACTGCATAAAAATGGCAGTTCTTTCAAAACATTCTGTATTTTAGGGTTCAGCAATTCACACTGGCTTTAACCTTGAAGATCCCAAATAGTGTCTTTTCATAAGGCTGACTAAAAGGAACTCTTTGATATATATCCAAAACAAAAAGGTAGCATTTCATAGACTAAAGAATTCTGTGCAAAAACACTATACAAATGAAAGATATTAAAAAGCACTAAAAATGAAAGCAAGTAAAGCTGAGGAAGCTAGTATGACTTCAGGCATGACTCACACACACTTTCCTCCCCACCTAACCCCTTACAGTTTCACACAAGCTGGGAATGATCTGACTCCAACTCTCCCACCTCTCTGTTGGAAAGGAATACCCTCTCTCATCCTACCAATCTCTCTTGCCTTTTCTCTCCTCATCTGTAAAAAAGAATAACAATCATCCCTGCAACTTCACAAGAATTATGTGATAGTCAAATTAGAAAGTATGTGAGTTATTTTGTAAACTTTATTAGGCCCATGCACTGAAAAATGGTTATTAATATAGCCATTACTGGACTGTTTCCCAAGCCTACACTCTCCTTGAGGGCCTTTTCCATTTTGTACTTTGATGCCAGGGAAAAGTACAATCAACTAAATACCTAGAGCTAGATCCACCTATGGAGAGAAGAAAACATTCTGGGCACATATTGGAAGAGCTAAGCTTTAATCAAAGATTCTTGGAAAGCCAGAGATACACTCCACCTAGAACAAGATGCAGTGTTAGAAATAAAGCCTAGAGAGTCTAAGATTCACCTCCTCCATCCCATTCCTTGGGGCAAAGCCACTGGAGATAGATCCCTGTATGAGGTCTTCTGGAGAGGCAGTTATTTTGGGAGAAATGGCTCAATTCTCATACCTAAAAGCAAGTACTTGGTTAGCCAAAAATGAGATCAGAGGTTGATATAGCAGACTAAAGAGGACATACTTCGGTATAATCCCTGCAACTACCAATGTGCATCATCTGATCAGTCAAGTATTATCTAAGCAGATGTTGCAGGTTCTGACAGAAGCACTCTTAACAAAAGAAAAGTGCTCAGTTTGTTCCCACAAAGCTATCACTTTACTCTCCTTGCTGAAGTCAAAAGTTATTTTTGAAGTCAAAAATATTTTTCAGAACCTGCAGACCTTCTACACTAAAGTTACGTAGTGGATCAGCTAAACTTACGGATGGAGTAGTGACTATATAGAGGTACTTGAACACATGAGTCTTCCAATAAACAGTCCCCATGATTAGGCAAGGCTAGGCTCTGTATGCCTGTTGTGAACATGTTTTCTAGGCATTTGCAGCCAATGAAGATTTTGTTCTTTCTGTCTTCCCTCCCCCAAAGCACCTTTCCAATTCCCACTTGGCTATATCCCTTGTAAGGAGACTGTGGGGCCTGGGCCTTTAAATGACAGGCTCTGAAGTTCAGTGGGCACTGTGATACAGGGGTTGCTAGGATACCAGTAGAGGCCATTTTCTTTAATTCTTGGGTGGGAAGCTGGGAACCAAAATCCCTGAGCTGGGATTTTGCCCCTCCTAGTAGCAAAAGCTTATCCTCTACTCAAATGGATCAGAAAGGAGGAAAGGGGGAAAAAGACATTTATGGGGAAATGTCATGGCAATTCAAAGAGGAAAAGCCCTCTTACTTCTCATCCTCTTCCAGTGGAAGGGTGGTGTTAGGGAAGGGAGAAAAGGGAAGAAAAGTAGTGGAGGAAAGGGGAAAGACTAAGAGAGGAGGCAGGAGGAGGAAAAAAGAAGACAGATCAAAATGCATAGGGTTCCATTTCTCTGGACTGCATTTCTCATATTCTCCCACTCTTTTCTCTTTTTGCATGCCCTCACACTTCTGAAGGAGAAATGCCAAACCTTCACAATTCACACAAGTAAAAAGTCACTTTGCCACCTTTTGTTCTCTACTGCCCAAATTACCTTTTGGCTGTTCCAGGAAAACCGGCCATTTGACTAACTCCATCCCTTATTTACCTAAGGAAAAATGAATTTGAAAGGTGTGAACTACCTTAGCTAAATTACTGGTGGAAGGGTTTTTCAAGCTACCCATATAGCCTGAGGGGTTTTAGGTGGTGGAAGAAAGATGCATGGGTGACACCCATCCATCCTAGTCCCATTTAAATCCTCACAAGGAGGCCATTCAGAACTGTGGAACTCAGTGCTGTCTTTCCTCATTCCTACCACCACCACCCTCCATCCACACTCAGGAGTGTGCACCCACACAAACACAGAGAAAGGCGTACACACACTCCCACAAACATACTGCTACCACCCCAGACACATACATTCCAAAAGGCTTTTTGCCAAGGGTCTGTTAAGCACCCAGGGGGGAAGGCATTTCATGATACTACTTAGTCATAAGCCAGGTTCAAAGATTAGTCTTAGAAATCCATTCTCCCTTTAGAGAAAATAAAAAGTCCAAAAAAATGTCAGTGTTGCAACCCCCATTTCCTTACCACATAGGAAGGACAAAAATTCCTTAGGTGAAATTCTCCAGATATTAGTAAAAATATTCAGCCTCTCCTCCCATCATCTCTTAATTAACATATCAGTATCCTTTTCACTTGACTTTCCAGTCAAGGGGGATGAACTGGAAAGTACTTATGGGTGCCCAAATTATAGAAAGCAAGAACTTGGAAGTCAACTAACTAGTCCAATCATTTCAAAATGTCAATGTTACAGGGAATCCCAAACCCACTGAGGAAGGAAAAAAATTCCCCAAGGTCAAATAGCCACTGAATGAAGAAAATTCCAGTCTGCAGCTGCCCAGTCTTTTCCCCATTCTCCAACACTGTCTAAAAACAAAGTACCAGGTAAGACAGAATCTTACTTTAAATAATATCTCTCGGAGCTAACAGATTGAAAAATAAACAACTCACTAGATTCTTTGCAAAGAAACAAGTTCTTGGTTCCACACAAGGGGTCTTCACAAAGAGACCAAAGAGTAATCAATAATAATCAATGCCAGCAAACCTCCCAGATCATGTTTATACCGTGGTACGAAAGAAGAAAAAAAACATAAAAACACAACTCAGCCTCTCACCCACACTGAGTCAATAAGAATGTGCTTTGAGGCTCAAAATCTTGACTGACGCCATTAAATAACTCTGGGTCCTGTAGTGAGAACAATTAGAAGGACCCCTTCACAGCCCCTCTCCCTTTATAATCAGTTCCAAAGAGATTCAACAAAATGGCATGGAACTTGACAGCATAATACCAGCAGATTTGCATATCATACATGAGCAGCCACCCACATTAGTGTAGGGGGAGAATGTGTGTGGATGTGTATGAACCCTGATTCATTGCTACATGAGCCAGAAATAGCAATATTTCAAGTCAGGTAAGCAATGGAATGAGGAAGACCTGCCTACATCAACAAAGGAGAAAAAAAGTAATGTGTACACTAGCATCAGAAACAAAATTTTCCTAGTTTTTCCAAGAGCTTTTTTAGCAGAAACAGAAATATAAAAATAATAACAGCAACCACCACCATGATATGATACAAACAAGCAGACATATCTCAAATTGGAATGTAGCTTCCAGCTCATGTTTCCTGAGCTCTCATCCCATTTCATCTAGACCTCTTTTTAGTGCTCAAAACTCAATTTAGCACATTACATACATTCAGTTATGGTAATGTGTCAATTAGACCTGTGCTCTTAAAGCAACAAACCAAAGAATACCACCACTACTTTGTCATCAAAGCAATCAAGTTCTATTTAGAATGTAGTTCAAGAACATTATTGCAAGTTACCCCAAAGGAGACACATCCAATACTATTATTCCCAAGGTAGGTAAAAAGCTGGATTTTGTTTTTTGGATGAGAATCAGAAAAAATCCTCAAACTCAAATCCAGGGGTACAATCTCTGGGGAAAGAAGCCCAAACATGTCTTATCAAAGTCCTCTCTTGCCAATTCAAAAGATCAGAGAACATTTTTATATCCCATTCCATGATTCCAAAGAAATTTATATTTAATGCTTTAAGAAATACTTTAAAGGTGGCTTCTTTCCAAATTGGAAACTGTGAACCCTGGACAGCAAATTGAGATTCAAAGGACAGAGTCACCAACTGCCAGCTCAAGGAACCCCACCGCGTCACTTCCCAAATTCTTGCTTCTCATTATAGATTAAAGAATCATTTTCCCTAAATCCATTTCTTGCATCGATTTTTCCCTTCTAAATATCCAGTGCACAACTGCCATTCCTAAGATCCAAAAATTCATCATGCTCTTCCACAATCCCCTTCCCCCTTACCCCCACCTCAAACAAACCCAAATGCACTCCAGATGGCAAGAGACAAATTTTGAATAAAATTCCCCAATGGAGTTTAAAGGTAGTTTTCAAGAAAATGAGTTGACAAGACACCACAAACAGAGAAGCCACTGTTAAGGACGCAGAGCTTGCCCCATGAACGTCACATAGATGGAGGATGCACACACGCATGCACACTTAAAATAGAAAACATTTCTTTATCAAAAAATTTCACTCAAGCAATAAGCAACTACACTCACAGGCATACTTAAAAGACATGACAAAAGATTTAGGGAGAGATAATATACCAACGTCATACATATCACAGCGAGGCCATGTTGAAGCTCAAAACGTTTTCCCCCCTGAATAAGAATTGCTCTTTCTCTCCCTCTCTTTCCCTGTCTCTGTCTCTCTCTCTCGCTCGCTCTCTCTCTTTTGCTCTCTCTCTCTTTTTTTTCTCGGTGGCTCTCGGGATGAAATCAAAGCGAGAGTTCACGACAGCTCAGGTGGCTGGACTCCATTCAGCGCGTTCCCAGGAAAAACATGAGTATGACATTGACAAGCAGGAGGACTACAATCACAGCAAAAACGACTACAGTTTGCACATCCAGGGTCATGGTGCAATGCAGAACACTGTAGTGTTCCAGGTGGGGGGCCGGCAGATTGGGAGATGTCAGTCTCTGTTCTGTCAGACTGTCCATACAGCCACCATGCTAGAAAGGAGAGGAGGAAGTCGGATGGTTAGGGAAGGGCTGGGTTTGGCGCCCGAGTTTGGTGGGGGGGGTAGGGGAGGGGGATGGGGACAGGGGCGCTTGTTTCCCCCTTCTCAGGATTGGGCTGCTATTCCTTCCCTAGCTGAGAAATCTTAGCTTGCGCTGAAGACGGCAGAGTCCAGCATTCTCTCTCGGGCGCCAAAGAAAAAGCAAAATCCTGGTTTTCAAAGGGAAAGGCGGGAGGAACCTATCAGAGGTTCTCCAGCGCCTGAGTCTGTCTGGGCGTGCGTCAGTCCGCCTGCCTGGCTAGCGGTCAGTCTCAGTCTCCCCTATTCTCTCTAACTCGCTTGCTTTCCTAAGCTGGCTTCCTTCCTTGCTCGCTCTCTTCGCGGGGCTCCAGGCTGCCAGCCACTCTTTCAAGCCCTTGCTCGCTGGCCCTCTTCCTCTCCTCTCCCCACCCCCACTTCAGCCCGTAGGCTGCCTTTTTATTCACCGAGAGACTGCAGGCGCCTGCGTGAGGCGCAGCCAGAGCGGCTGACAGGCCCACCCGCCAATAGCAGATGCTGCAGCAGCGCGTACGCTGCCTGGAGGCGGGACTTGCGCTGGCATGCTAGCAGTGGCAGCCAATCGGAGTTCCCAAGACTCCCTGAGCTGGCTTGCTCCATTCCAACGAACCCGGAGCCACTGGCAGTCAGTTTTGGCATGGGGGTGGGGAGGCTTGTTGGGGGTGGGTTGAGGGGGATGTAGAGAGGTAAAGGAGAGACTGGGAAAGAGGGAGGGAGCCGGTCAAAGGGGCTGAAGGGGAGCGAGCTTGGGCAGGGAGGGAGGAGGTGACCACAGAAAGAAAGGAAGGTGGGAAGGAGGAAGAAGAAATTGGGGCTATGATGAAGAGGGAGAAAGGTTGGGAAATGGCAGGGTAAAAGAAGAGGAGGAGGGAATAGTAATGGAAAATTGGGATAGGTAGGTAGGGCGGATGCAAATACCTTGGCAACCACTTTGGACCCTGGGCCTAGGGGGAAGCAAACGGTATTTGGCCACTGCCTAAAGTATATACAGGCAACTTACAATTAGCTATAAAAAGCTCACAATCCAGTGCTATAGGGAGAACCACATGGACATACAACAAATTATTCAAAATCCAACTCTATTTGGCTTTCTCTTATATAGAGATGCTCTGGCCCTTTCCTAATTATGGTTTCTTCACACTACGATGGTTCACTGGCACTCTTTGAGCATGCTGAGTATCCAAACGGGAAGCCAGCTCAGGGTTAAATATTTGCCACATATAAATTTTAAATAACTTACAATCTACTTGTAATAATCTCCTCATAAAGTGACCTAGTGTCTAACCCTAGAGGGGAAATGTCCTAAACTAGAGGCTGGAAGGTTTCATATTTACTTCAAGCTCTACCTCAAGCTTGCTGTGTAACTTTTGGACAACTCCTTTCCAGTATCTGGGCCTCCAAGTCTCTCTGTCACATGACGACTCATATCTGAGAATTCAGTGACACCTCAGAACCCTCATCTCAAAAAAATATACACAATTTCTGCAGTTTCATGGGCTCTAAGAGTTATGGATTACCTCATACAGAAGAACTCTCAGAGCTTTTCTTGCTCTTACATGCTGTATCCGTATAAGTTGATAAATAGATAATGGTGAGGGGTAAGAAACTGTTTTAGACAGAGATAAAACAAATTAAGTACTATAAGAGGAATGAGAATTACTTGCTAGTCTCTAGAAATCTTTGAGGCTAAAACAGTAATCCATCTTAACTGGATTATTGGAAATTCTGAATGAATTGAGGTCATAAACAAAATGGCCCCTGGCCCTACAAGATAGAATAAACTCTAAATAGGTCCCCACTTAACAAGTTTCATAGCACCACTTGTGAATGATTCTTGCCAAAACTACAAAAACCCCTGAATCAGATCAAGTGTCTAGATTCGACTATTGATGCATACACAAAGGACAGAAAATAAAAACATTTTAAACTCCCATGCAGGGATTCAGATCATAAAAATATATACTATAAAATCTGCATGACCAACAATCCAGTTCTTTACACATAAACAGTAAGAAAACAAAAAAAATTGATTGGAATGGAACTTGTATACAGATACACATTTGTGAAATTTATAAAAATCTGGAAATAACACAAACCAAATAATTGGTGATATAAAGGAATTACTATTAATTATTTAGAAATGACAATGATATTGTGGATAGACTTGACAAAATAGGGAGAATGGGAGTAAATATTTGTGACTTTCCATTTGTTCTCTTAGAAATGACATGAAAGCAAGAGCAACCAAAGGAAAAAACAGATAATTTGGACTTTATCAAAATTCAAACTTTTATGATTCAAAGGACTATCATGAGTGTGAATGGTGAACTCAAAAATAGGGGGAAATATTTGCAAATAATGTATCTTCTATCTAGAATATATAAAGAGCTCATAAAAAGAAATATAATTCAATTTAAAAATTATCAAAGTATCTGGATAGACATTATCCAAAGACATGGTCAATTAAGCACATGAATGATATTCAACCCGGTTAGCCATCAGGGAAATTTGAATTAAATACTGGAAATACAAATACAGGATACTCACTACAGCCTTGTTTGTAATGAGATATCCACACTAGATATTCACTAGAATGTAGGCTTTACAGTATATATTTTTATAATCTGTATAATGGTACTGCAATTTAAAATGTTTTTGTCCCTGTCCTCTGTGTATTCTATACATCTACATTTGGATCTAGAAGTTTGATCTAATGAATGGATAGAATCAAACAGCCAGATAATAACAAATCTCACAGAGGCTGTGGAGAAATTGAAATCCTCAAAACACAGCTAATGGAAATGTAAAATGTTGGAGCCACTTTGGAAACACTGTGATGTTTCCTCCAAAATTAAAGAGAGTTACCATTTGACCCAATAATTCTACTCCTTGGTATGTACTTATTAGAAGTAAAAATATACACACAAAAAAACTCACGCATGAATGTGTTCATAGTGGCCAAAAAGTAATAGTAATATTCATAGTAGCCGAAAGATGGAAACAATTCAAATGCCCATAACTACTGCATGTGGTAGCACACACCTCTAATCCCAGCAACTTGGGAGGTTGAGACAGGAGGATTGCAAGTTGGAAATCAGACTGGGCAACTTAGCAAGACCCTGTCTCAAAATAATAGTTTATCAAAAGCTAGGGATGAACCAGGCATGGTGGTGCACCCCTGCACTCCCAGCAGCTCAGAAGGCTGAGACAGGAGGATCATGAGTTCAAAGTCAGCCTCAGCAAAAAGCAAGGTGCTAAGCAACTCAGTGAGACCCTGTCTCTAAATAAAATACAAAATAGGGCTGGGGATGTGGCTTAGTAGTTGAGTGCTCCTGAGTTCAATCCCTGGTCCCAAAAAATAAACAAATAAATAATGAAAAGGCTAGGGATATAGCTCAGTGGTAAAGTGCCCCTGGGTATGATCCCCAACCCCCCCACACACAAATCTGTCAACTGATGTATGATGGATAACCCAATGCAGTATATCCAATAAAATGGAATATTATTCAGCCATATAAATGAAATATTGATCAATGCTACAACATAGAAAAACTTTAAAAATATGCTAAATATAAAAGACAGTTCCACAAAGTTTTTCTATGATTCCTTGTATATGAAATGTCCATATATTTACAGTAAATATTGTTTCATGGAGCTTTTGGTCAGTTAAATTTATTAAGTTGTGATGTAAAATGTACTTGCTATAGCAAGTGATGTTCAAAACAACCTGAAAGCCACTCTTGTACATTATGTTGAGACAGGTGTTGGCTATCCATAATGTAAGCAAGTAGAATTTTTCTCCATGTCTTTGCAAGTTTAATCTTATCCTGTCACTATTTCTCTAATATCTTTTGACCCATTCGTGCTTGATAACTGGCTTTATACTGTCATCCTATAGAAACCTGGAAACTTCTGTGAATATAAACAACTTGTTGCTAAATCTCATGGCCACGTGTCCATCTTTATTTTTCCTGGGTTCTCTCACATTGGATTCCATTGATGCCTCCCTCTTTCCTGAAATGTTTGTTTGCCTTGGGGACACCATCTAAAGGATCTGTCTGGTTTATTGTCTTGGCTTTTTGTCTGGGTTCTTCTTCATTCAGTCATTAATGCCATGATTTATCAAGATTCTTCTAATGCCATGACTCTTTTCTTCTCATTCTGTACTTGCCTTGACTGGGTTCATCTATTTCCAAGGCTTGAACAACCACTGCTTTTACATACTGATGTACCTCCTTTAAATAAAATTAATGCACACCAGTAACAAAAATCCACATAGGCCCTTGCTTGCAGAGAGACTCTCTTTCTACTTAAGTAATCTCAGGTACTTCTTTTGGACTACAGAGATGAATCTCTGTTTTCTGGATATCTTCTACTGAATATCTCACAAGTATTTCAAACTTTATAAGTCCAAAATTGAAGTCATTTTCTCTCTCCCACCCCTAGAAGTTTTCTTCTTCAAAAGTTCTCTTGGGGATTATAGTCACATAGTGAACTAGCCAGAGGATATTTTAGCCCTGTCTCTCCATCACCTCATCCAAAGTCAACTTGTCCCCAAGTCCCATTGATTCTCTTCCTCTTTTATCTTTTCATTTGTCCCTTTCTCTCCCTCCTCCACCCTCTCTCTCTCTCTCTGCTACCAGTTCCTTTAATTAGTTCTTCATCATCTCTGGTCTATTACAATTAATTACCTGGTCTTTTGTGCTGCTCTCCCTCTGCAACTCAGCCTCTACTTTCCTGACCAATTTATTTACCTCAAAAGCAGTTCTGCTCTTATCGGACTATGGTTTGTTTGCTAAAGATCTGTGTCATCCTCCTTCTAGCCTAATTTCCTGTATTGCTAAAAAACTAAACCCCATAAACTACAACAAACTGGCATTTCCAAGACTTCTTTGCAGTCACTTTTCTTAATTTGATAGAATTCTGCCAGTCTCATACACATGCCCAATATTTGGAAGAAGTTGGTGAGGCAGAAACCATATCTCTCAAACTTCTGTTAGCAAGCACAACAATGGAGGTACTGAGGTTTTCTGTGATTGTGTTACCATAAATCTTAACTAGCTCTGCATTTTGAGTGCCAGAGAATGAGATTTTATTTTCCTTTGAGAATCTGGCAGATATGATAGTCCTCTACCCAATGGTTAGGGCAGTAGCAGTGTCCTGATTCCCAAGTCACAGATATGGTAAAGTGCTCCCAGAGTCCTTGATCCCTTACCTTCCTGTTTGTGGCAGTGATAGATGCTACTCTGCTATTGTTCTGGGAGTCATTTATGGAAGCCCAACCTAAAACTTGCGCCTCTGTCCCTTCCACCAATTTTGTAAGCACCTGATTTTCTGTATTAAGATGTTTTCTACTGAAAAGAACTAGAGTGCATTATTTTCTGCAGCTGAAATCTG